CAAAAGATCATTTCACGAGGCATGAATTGTGTCGTCTTCCTAAAAACAATGGTGGCTTAGGATTCGGAATTTGGTGTCAAAGAATTTTTTTATTGGCTAATACTAGATTTGGCATTTTCTATAGGAACCTTGTTCATTGTTGCATAGGATGATTAAGACTACTCATAGAAGTCACAAGAATGGATAGGATTCTGTTGCCAAAAATTCTATTATTCATAAAAGTCCCTAGAAGGTCATCTCTCGTTTGCTTGATAACTTTATCTTTTTACCTGCCTCAGGGTGGGATATGGATCCTGTACTTTTTTTCGAGAGAATTTTGGAGGCGTGATAGCCATTAGCCAATCATTTTCCTCGTCTTTATAAAACTTTTGCATATTATGATGTCCATATTTCTTATTTCATTAACCACAGGGAAGGGATACATATTGGAATTTGTATTTTTTCATAAACCTTAATGATCAAGGGACTATTGACATGTTAGCTCTGGTAAGGCTCTTGGAGAACTTCCACTATTTTCACTAGCCTAATAGTAGGAGTTGAACCTTAGATTCTTCTGGAATTGACCATATTCCCATAATAGTAACTGCTACATTACTTAATTTACCAATTTGTTTTGGAAAGTGAAACTCTCTTCTAAGTTAAGCTTTTTGCCTGGCCTGTCGTTCTTCACCAGATATTTGTGTTATGTGTTTTAGAAATAGGGAGACTTATGATCACCAGTTGCTTCACTATGATGTGGCTTGAAAGATGCATGCCTAGACTGTTTGATACTTTTGGATTGGTGTAGGTTGCTCTATTTTCACTATAAGTTTCATGAGCTCAAACCTGTTGAGGAGGGTGTGAGAGAGGAAGCTAAAATTCTTTGGAGAGGAGCATTTTTTGCAGGTTTCTGGCCATTGTGGTTGGAGAGGAATTATATGATTTTCGAAAGACTGATTTCTTGATTTTCAGTTTCTATGGGAAAGGATGATCTTTTTGCCTTCTCTATGGGCTAAGGTCCATGGCCACTTTATTGAGATTTCCGTTGGTGTTACAAAGAAATTGACAGATAATATTGTATTGATTTTTTGGTTTTTGTTGTTTTGTTGTCCTGGTTTTCAGGACTTAGAAGGCTGTAGGAAGATATCTTGTTGTTGAAATTGTATTTTCTTTCTTAATTTTTTAAATAATGTTTTTTTTATCCAAAGAAAAATATTAACCATTTGTTGGTATTACTGACTTTTTAATAAACCTTGATTCACCATTAACAAGCAAGTACTGAAGTTTGAACTTTTAAGATACTTGTGTGAAATCATTTCAGTTCCTTCCTCTTGCTTGCTTTTAACAAATTGAATCTCAATAAATGATTTCTAACTTCGAAAACTTAAGTTGACAATACTTCTACAGAATTATACTATTTGGCTGTTTCATATTGCAGAAGGCCACATCATCTGATAACCTGCAGTCTATTGATGCAAATCCAGTGGAAGAGATAAAAGGCAATCTAGAAATCTTGATTGATTTTACTGATAGCGAGCCTCCTGATGCTGCAACAGCACTGAAAGCAGAGCAAACCTCCCCATCTAATAATAGTGGTAATGAGTCCTTGTGTGAAGTCTCTTCAAAGGAGAAGGCATCTCAAGCTCCATGTGCAAATTCTTTAGAATCTTTGCTATTCGAACTGTCAAGTCCCTCTTTTGGAGCTGAATGTAACAAGTCCAAAACTCCAAGTGATAATGATTCTTCATTAACTGCATCTGGAGGCAGGACAACTGGTGTTGTCTATAATGATGTCGGTGTTTCTACTTCATCCATTACCAATGTGCATATTCAATCTACTAATGGAGGTTCTCCTCACTCGCCACATGTTATTACTGGTGAACCTGTTATGAAACTTCCTGGTATACTGCAGTTTCATAGCACACAGCAACATCAGCTTTCCTCTCTATCAGCTAGAAATAGTACCTCTAATACACAACAGACTACTTCGTCAGTTATGGTGCTAAATAACAAGGTCCGTATCAGCAATTCAAAGAAATTACATGGTTGTCCAGGAGTCAACATGTTTTGATCTGTCCTTGGGGAATGAACCTAATTCCCAGTATACTGTATATCCTTGTAAAAATGGATTATGGCTTGTTGAAGGGTTTGGTATAGATCGCATTTCACACCAATTACATCTGGTCTAGATCACTTTCAAAAATTAAAAGTTCATTTCTTCAATTCCTTGCTACCATACCAAGTTAAATCATATACACTATTCCAAAATTTTAAACTTCAGTTTCAACATGAAGACAAACAAATTAGAACACGATCATAAACTTTATTACAGTTCATGATGGTAATGACTATGTAAAATGTCAAGAAAACTTGGTCATTCAAAATTTATTCACTTTTTGATGTCATGTGCATATGCAGCCTTGGACACCGTCAACCACACCTAATACTCAAGGACTGTCTAATGCTTCTGTTGGGCAATCATCTAAGTATGTGCCAGAACTTGCACAGGATACCATGGCTGGAGTTGGGTCAGGGTGTAACCAAACAGAGACAGAATCTAGTGGAAGAAAGGAACTTCCAGCAGTACAGTTTCTAGCTTTTGCTGTTCCGGAGTTTCCCTGAGCTCTTTTGGTGACAATTTTTATATCTTATGCAGGATCTTTTTACAGCAAGCTACTCAGAAGCAAATCTGCAAGTTCCTAGCTGGCAACCCGGCCCGCATCATGGTGTGGGATTTGGCATGCAGTATTATCCTAACCCAGTGGTACCTTATGCACTAGGATTTATCAAGTGAATAAGTACTGTTTTAATTATTAATATGTCCTAATCTATTTATGTTATTTTCTGTTTGCAGGTCATGGGAGGATTCCCATGCTCTGTGAAGTCAACAAACCCATTTGACCTTAACAGTGATAGAAATCCAACACAAGTATCACCAGTATGCACAACATTAAACTGATACAACACAATTGCATCACTGACTTATTTCCTTATCTTTTGTTGAACACTTGAACTTTTAAACAATTTCATAAAATTAGTTGTGCTTATTAGGTGTTCTGCACGGTTTTTTTGTATATTCACTTGAATTCTATCTTTTTAAGTGTTAAACAGTCATAATTCTGCTTCATTACCATAAGCTTGATAAAGGAAATTGTGATTAAATCCATAAATTGTGTTTTCATATATTTTATTCACACTGAATTCTACCTATAATGATATTTCCCAGAACCAGTCCTTTTACATTAGGTATCAATAGTTGTTAATACATGCTCTGGGGTTGAAAACACACTAGGGAGTATGACTCTGTTTGAACAATTTATTTATAGCAATTTGCATATGCTTGACACATGCCAGGCTGCAAAAATGCAACATTAAGTTTATAGGCATTTATTAGTTGGTAAAGGCTATTCTGCCTCTTTGTCGTAAATGACTGATGAACAGGCATCTTATTTTGGATAACTTGGCTAATGGGTCCCAACAGTTACTCATTATCTCTTAATCACAACTCCGTATCTTTTGGCTTAAGGTTGAGGACATGAGTTAGTGTGCTTAATATTCTGGATGACAGAAGAGTTGGGATAAAAAGAGGAGGCAGGGAGGGACTTGTCTGACTCAGCTATGGTTTATTCTTGTTCCTTATTCTAATTCAGGCATGATATGTCAAGATCTTGCAAAATCGTAGATAAAATTTGTCAGGGGCTAATGTTTAATTAGAGTAACTCTGGATTCCATCAATGAATTTCGTTCCTCCTGCCCATTAGTCTCTGATTGTATGAAGAAGACACAAAAGCCCCAAATTTCCTTGACTTGCTCCTTTGAAGTTTCTGCTGATAACTCCTATCATACCCATCACCATTTACAGAGAAATCTCCCGTAACGCCATAATTTTTGAGATAATGTTAAGATATTTTCAGACAGTTGATAATAGATATTTCAGTCCAAATATGTTTAATTGACAATTGAATACTTTGAAATTTTAAATTGAGGAAAGAGAATCTTTTGGTTCGTGTTTCTTTTAGATGGTTAGAAAGAATTTTTTGTTTTCTCAAACTTCAGCACTTAATTGAGTACACGAACTTGTATTAACCTTTAAAGATGTGTTGTACATGTGTAGTTTCCCTCCATGGAATCTCTGGTAGGAGCGATCCCTAATGTTTCAGCCCCTACAGGCTTGTTCCAGTCTTCCAGTTCAAGTTCCAGTACTGTCACATCTCAATCACCATTTGCTTCTGGAGTGACTCCTGGTATTCTTCCTTTTCACCATTATTTCTTCTGGTAAATTTACGATGACATCTTGGTGTTGCTTTTATTTAAAATCCATTATGAATAGTTTCATATGTTGATCCCAGATGCATATATGGGGCAACAAGTCAATATGCCACCTTCCAGGTATGCTCTTGGTCTTGACTGTCTTGTGTTGAAAGTAAATTCTGCTTTCTGTGAAAGCAAACCACTCTGAATAATGACGATCTCATGAAGTACTGCCAATATTGTTTTTCTTTCAAGTTGTGTCAAGAGCTTACTCTCTTAGATAAGGAAATTCAGTTTCCTCACACACATAATAAGGTAAGGAGTCTGATGAAATTCAACTGATATATATATATATATATATATTGTTCCAGAGTTGCTTGTACTTGTACTCACCTATGATGCATTTTCTGAAGCATTATTTTGGGTCTTCGATGAAGGAAAATGAAAATTTACTGTTAGCCTAAAGTTTGGGCAAAACATTGAAAATATAAGACTACCTCCCTTATTCAAAACTTGCAATTTATTCTGCGTTTACTCTTCTAGTTAATCAAACGTTGTTCAACTGCTTGTAGACCACTTTGTCATCTCAGTACCTTATTTTGGAAGCTCAAGATCACCACTCTCTATAAATTGTCAATCATCTAAAAAAATGAAAACTTAAATATTTAATACATTAAAACTTCTTTAAAAAACATATTTTTTTGGGAAAATATTATCATTTACTAAAGTACTTGAAAATTGTTCTAATGTTTTAGCTTATTCCTAAATAATCAGATACATGAGTTAAACCACAAAATTAATCCTTCATTAAGATTAAAAGATGATATTTTAATTCAAGAAAAAAACAAGAGCTGAGAAAACTGGAGGAAATGGAAAGGGATTGGAAGGGAGTTTAGTTCCATCCTTCTGTTGCAAGTTCTTATTAATTTATAAATAATAAATTAGATCATTTCTAATTGAAAAAAACTGTAGATTTTATTCTATGGTTTCCTCTCATTCTTTATAGGATTGGGTATCTAATCAGCATCACCCAAAAATAAGAAAGAAAATATACTTCTAAAAGATTTAGGAAACATTTCTCTATTTAAGATTCTAATATCAAATTTAAATCCTTTTTTTTCTTCTAAATATTCTCCTTGTTATTTCTACATATTTCTTCTCCTAAATTTTCTCTTAATATTTCTCTACTAATCAATTTAAATTTTTGAGAAAATCAAACAAGTACACTTTTTAACATAGGACAGAGCCAAATGTCTAGAGTTGAAATCCTTATTTCTTAGTTGCTGTTAATTAACATTCAGCACAAATTACAGGAGATCTAATGCTCGATCAACATGTTGAGCCTAATAAGTTTGCCCATGAGGAAGTGTGATAATAGATAAATAGTAAGTCAAATAATTTCCGGTCAATTTAAATTTTTAGAAAAATCAGTTCAGTTATATTATTTAACATTTTTATCGGTATTCTTTGTTTAAGATCTAGATAAAACTTGTTTATCTAGAATTTTATTGTGTATGCTTGCGAAATTGGCTATAAAGCGACCCTTTGCATGCATTGATTGCTAATTTTTCATGTTACTATCGTCCCTAACAGAAATAAAATATTTGAGGTTCTGGTTTGTATTTGCAGGCTACAAGGAGTTGCTTGTTTTGGCATTGATGGAGATGCCTTTGGCACGTCAAAAGTGGTAGTCCGACCTCCTAGTGGATACCCAGCAGCCATGAACAACAATTATTTTCATTCAAGAAGAGGAAACCCATTTGGATAGATGGATTTTAGCATTATCCATTCTATTTGATTGTATTTGTTTCTGGCCTCCTAGCCTCTGACTGAAAAGTCTAGCATCTTTTCAGCTGGAATTAAATAGACAGGTTGTCTGAATGAGGTGATGTCTTTCCTTATCATCTGGCCAACAGATACTGGATATATGCACACTGCAAGCAATTTGGAGGTCTGAAATTGACCATTCTGGGTTTAAGTTAAGTTCTGGTATTACTTCCAATTAATAACCATAGAATGGCTTCTCCTGCCTCTCTTTTTTTTCCCCTAATAATTTCATGTCTTGCTGCTTTTAATGATCAAAGCTCACTAATTTCATGCTGGTTGCTCCGTGCTTTATTTACAGTGAATATATTAGACATAAAGGAGAAGAAAGGAAGTTGTAGTAGCACTCACGGACACTCTTTCAGAATTTACAGCATGGATTTATAAGCCTCTCTCAATCTGTACTTGCAGTTTTGTTGTTGTAGGCTAACATCAATGACCTGTTAGCATAATCACCAAGAGCCTTTACA